GCCACTTTAAAGTGGGCAACATTGTACATCAAGTTGAAAAGGAAAAGGAGTGAACATCTTTTAAAGTGGGCAGTGTTATACATAGGGATAAGTATATATGAAGTCCTTAAAATATCGGGTTTCCCAATGGGAAATTCTCCAAAGATGTTTTGCATCTTCGGCCTGTGTTTCCTCCCCAAATTGATAATTTAGGTCTGTAAAATATTGTTTACAGTGCTTCGCATACTGTTTTGTGTGCGGATTCTTGCATTTTCGCAAGAGTGGAGTGGTTTCCACTTTACCAGAGAAATTTGTGCTCTGGATTTTCGTTTGTTCATCTGGCTGTTTAGCTGGATGGTTTTCTGTGGTTAGAGCCACCTTGCCAAGTGCGGAGCTTGACAGAGTACTAGTTGCTCCTGGTTTGGGAGCAAATGATTGTTCGACTTCATGGCCAGCATGAGTCCCCGGAACTTTGTTCCGGTGCTGTTTGGAGGCTGTTGCCTCTTGCCACAGCTCCCATGCTGTGTTCCCCAGTGTTCGTGAGGATTTTTGGACCGAGATTTATCTTATCTCGGTTGAATGGTTCCCTGTTGCATTGGATGCCTCCCACCAAGGTTACTTGCCCATAGGGTGTCGAAGTACTTGACAGCCCACTGCCTCTAGCAGTGGTCCCAGCCTGGGGTTTGCTATTGGCTGCCTACTGCCTTCCTTCCTCCCCTCAACCTGGGTCTGTGCTCTTGTTGGAGCACCACTCTGCAGTCCGGACAGGGTCACCTACCCACAGGGTAGCGAGAATTGTGGTATCCCATCCCAGTTGTGTTAGTCCCTGTCTGGGTTACACTTTCTGAGACCCAATATCACATCTCCTCCCCTTAACCTGGGAGGCCCCATCATGTTGGACTTGGCAGTGGGATTCTGCCCATGTGCAAGTGAGCTCAGGCTCACATTCAAGTTCCTCGATTTCTGGAAATCGGTTTCTCTTCATTTTTGGAGAGAGGTAATCTTTCGCACTTCTATGCAAATCTTGTACTCCTGCCTCTGGGTGGCACGGTTCTCATAGGCATTTCTTGGCACCTCTGAGTAATCAGGTCGTCTCTATTTGGATGGCCTGAGTGAGGAGCTTGTCTCGCTCTCTTGTTTCCCTTTCATGAGGGATTCTGTCTCATCCAACTCCTTTCGGAGTTGGCTTGTGTTGTCCACTATCACCGGGGGTGATAGCTTGCTCTCAGCTTGGGTTGGGCTGAGAATTTGTTGGCTTTGGCCATCTCGAAAAGCATGTGGACACTTCCCTGTAGGGTGGCTTGCCCATAGGGTGTCATGGTCCTTGGCGGCCCGCTGCCTCTGGTAGTGGTCCCCTTTTGGGGGTCTGTCATCGGCTGCCTACCGTCTTCCCATCTCCCCTCAACATGGGTTTGCCCTCCTGAGGGCGGGCCCTTATGCAACCTGGACAGGGTCGCCTGCCCATGGGGTGGCGGGATAGTCGGTGCCCCGCCCCTTGGTGCGCTAGTCCCCATATGGGGTCGCGCCTCATGAGGCCCGGAACCGTATCCCCTCCCCCTGACCTGGGAGGCCCCCATCATAATGGGTTTGGCAGCGAGGTCTGCCAGTACGCGTGCCTCTTCAAGCTCGCGTTTTAACAACTTGATCTCCCTCTTCTGGAGGTCGACTTCTCTCTCTGTGTCTTTCAGAGAGGCAAAGATGCCGAAGCGTCTCTGCATGCCCTATTGTATTCATGCCTCCAATGGGCGCAATTATCGCAGGCATCATCTGACACCCTTGAGTTGTCAGACCGTGCCTGTTTGGACGGCCTGGGCAAGGAGCCGCTGTCGCTCCCTCATCTCCCTCCTACGAAGGACTTTATCTCTTTCAACTCCTGATGAAGTTGACCTGTCTGGGCAGCTACTGCTGATGCAATAGCTGATTCCCAGCCTATGTTTGGCTGGGTTGTCAGATCTGGGCCAAATTGGCCGATCCAGGGAGTGATTTGGCCAGGGAAGTTCCCTGGGGAGTATACCTGGGGCTTCAGCGGCAATTGCTGCCCCTGGAGTGGCGCTTGTTGTGCCATCGGTGCAGTTTGTACTGCATATGGTTTTACACGTGAGCCTGGGGTCTAGGCGAGTTACTCACCTAGCCCATGTGATGTCTAGCCCATGGTGTGGCTGTCCGGGTGAGTTGCTCGCCCGGAATCTTCCTGCACTCTTGGCTGTGGGTGATCGCTCTTCAGCTTCACTTTTTCCGCCTCCGTTTTTTGGGGGCATAGTGATGCCGAAAGTTCCGTATCTTCTTAGATCGGGAGATTTTCCGGTTCCCTCACATTTTGTAATGTGAGGTACTCGTCCAGGTGGGCAAGGTCATCACGATTTACTATGGGTTCCCATGTGGTGTCCCCTAGCTCCCATTTGGCCTTAAACCAGAGTTCGTTGTGAATCCACGCATGGTTTAAGATTTCGTGAACTACTGCTTCGCGATCAGGGTCTTCCCCAAATCGTAGAATATGTTTACTTCCCTATTTGGGAAGATTTCTTGGTCATTCGGCTCATGAGGTACGAGCTGGGATACGTGGAATCTTGGGTGGATTCCGCATTGTTCAAGTTGTGGTGGAAACTTGAGGACATAGTTTGACATCTCTGGAAATGTTTCCAGAATTTCGTAAGGCCCTAGGTATAAGGGCTTTAGTTTGCCTGCCCTTCCTTTGGGTAGGTTCAACTTATCCGTGGATAAGTATGCAAGCTTGCCTTTTCTCAAAGGCAGGTCCGGGCGTCTTTCTTATTCGCCTGGATTGTTTGGGCAGCGCGATTGTGTATTATCGCGTCGTGTGCTGCCATGAGGTTTTCCTTCACTTTTTGGGCGAAGTCATTTACTCCTGGGTAGTCCGAGAGTGGTGCTGTTAGGCACATCTTTGGCATATGGCCATAGATTAATTCGAACGGGGAAAATCCTGTCGATGTGTTCAAGCTCGCATTGATTGTGAATTCTGCCATCGACAGCTTTGCTGCCCTGTTGCATTGATCTGGTCTGACCATTGCATGTAGTATCTGTACTACTTTCTGTCGTGAATTTTGAATCTCGATCTGATGCGATCGAGTGTGGTAATCTGTGAAGTCTGTCACGGCCGTGCATTCCGGCCCATTAGCCGCCCGTCCTGATGCCGCCCGAGCCCGTTACCGCTATGCGAGCATGAGCGCGAGCCCCAACCTCAGCCCTATCCTCCCTGAGGACTCCCTGCTCACTTCCCCACTTGCCCCTAGGCTCCCCTACACTTGGCCGACTCCCCTGCTGCTGCACCAACCTCCCCACCCTGAGTCTGCCTCCGGCACCATGCCCAGTGCAACTCCCCTACCCCACCCACTTGGCCCCTACAGGGCCGCTATCATCCCCATGCCCGACTCCGGCCCAACTCCGAGTCCAGCACCGCTACGATACCATCGCCGCTATCGCGGCCCTACGCTCTTTCCTTTATTTATCTGTTATTGTTTGTTTTGACCCTCGGTCATTGCCGGCCGCTATGCGGCCAACCCCGCTCCTTATTCTTGTTTGCTTCCGGACCCTTCGGCCTCCGGCCCGGGTCCGCTTCCATTCATTTCTTCCTCCTATATATATCCTGTATGATACTTTATTGTACCTTAGCTCTAATATCAATGTGACCATGACCCCTAAGTCCTGATCCCAACAAGGCAACCCCAGTGAGTCTGAAATGAGGGCCAAGAGACAGCTAGGGGGCACAGCACTCCCTTTAGAGTTGCTGAGGCCAAATGCCCTACCCCTGGGCCTTGTTCACGGCATCACGGCCATTGCGGCCTATAGCAGCCTGCAATGGCGACCCTCGGTGGCGACCCCGGACCAGTGTCTAACAAAGTCATACAACTTCGCAAGAAACATGAATGCTAGTTCTAATGCATTCATGGTTGAGTGGGATCAGGTGGACGTTGTTGTGTCTGCCTGTGGACAATTCCTTTGATGGAATCATATCCCAAGTCTGTTGGGATGTGTTTACTTCACAGGTTTGGGTACTCCCCCCTAGAGCTTCCTCTAGGTTGTTTGGTCTCAAGAGTATCTCGAGTTCATAGGCATGATGCCTATGATGACTCCTTACAACTGGTCTTCTAATGCCAGTTTGATCTGTTTGCATTTGTGGTCAGCTGGAGGTCTCAGGCTGGCACCGGAAGCAAACTGAATTCCCCTATCAAGGAATTGTATTGGGGATGTTTTCTCCCCTATTGTTATCCCTCGGATGTTTATCCGAGTTTTTCCCTGCCATTAATAAGTGGGGTTAAACCTGAGACCACGCAGTTGCCCTTTCGATTCGACACCATGTTGAATGTCAGGTGGCTTAAGCTGAGTTGCTCGGCTTTACCCGAAGTTACTCGGTCAGGAGCATGTAACAAGGCATGACAGGAATTTCTGTCACGCACTGTGACGCATCTAAATGTCACGCTCTGCGACGCAATTCAATGTCACACACTTGCGACATGAAGGAGATGGAATAGAGGACCAAAGTCAGAGAAACCAATGCTGTAGGGGCATTAGGACTTTGGGAATTAGTACAAAGGTTGTATTGCTCGAAACAGAGCAAATTTACAATTAAAATGGATTTAAAATGAGTATCACATAGGTTGGGCCGAGTTATTCGGCTTTATCCCTGTTTGCGAGTTCAAGGAGTTTGGTTCCTCAAGCAATTGCCTTCCAGATGGTATTTATTTGGGAGTTCCAGTTCTTCTGAGCTAGGACTGGCTTGTTTCTTTCTTTGGTGTTTCTACCAAAGCATCGGTGACTTTCTCATTCACCGTGTTTATGGCCTTCCCAACGAAAGAGCCAGAGAAGAAAGGAAAAAAAATGAGGGCCTGGAGCGCTTCCAGACATGTGGAGTCTCCTCAGTCTGAGGAGTTAAAACTATAGCATATTACTATAGGTTGATGGTCGGGTAGACCTTCGAAAACCTCTCGGTATGAGAGGAAGGCTGCCAATAGTTGGCGGCAAGATTGTGCGGACTGGGTTGTCTGCACAAGTGGGAGTTAGGATCTCTACTTGATCTTATCTGCCAATTCTTGGTCCTCCTTCAAGTACGAGGAGGGCTGATTGGCCTTGTCGGCCAATTGTGTGTGATGCAGCCCAGTATTTCTACTGGGGAGAGGGTGGATTGTGGCCGCTAGCCAGCCGAGTATAAACTCCACCCAGAGCTCGTCTTCTTCTGGAGACTCCGGGGTGGTTTCTTCCGAAGGGTCCTCCTTCAGTGGGTCTCCCTCCGAGGTTTTTTCCTCGGGGGTGTTGTCTTCTGAGTGACTTTCCTCAGGGGAATCCCTCTTTAGTGTCGTCACCAAAGAGTTGGTAGTTCTTTTTTTGGTCTGGCTTATCGCCATTTTTCGTCATTGTTTTCAATGATGTCAGATCTTGGGGCCATTATTGTGGTCCCAACACTGATGTCCTCGCCCTTTCTTTTGGGCAAGTAGTGAGGTCCCTTGTTTGGGTCCTCTGGTTCAAAGTCATTGGAGGTGTCCTCCACTTCGAAATCACCAGAGATATTCTCCGGTTCTTCTTCATCAGAGTCGTCTCCAACTTCACCTTCTGTTTTGTAGTCGACTTCCCTGGCAATCCTGTGCCTTGGGTTTCTGTCTCCTACTAACTGGTGCTCAGGGTGGCTCTTTGCCCGCTCTGGTATTCCGCGATTATTGCATACTTGTACCGGCCTTTGGTCGGTGTTCCCTGACTGCTTCAGGGAGGATTCGCCTTTCCATTTGGGTTTAGGGTCTTGCACATTGGCTCTTGCCTCTGCGTGTTTCTCCTTTCCCACCTGGTTGGGCTTTTCGCAATTTGTGGTTGCGGTGGTTTCAGGTCTGGCATAGCATTCTGGCCTGTAGGCTGGAGCTATCCTCAGCCTGTTTTTCATCTCGTCCATGCGAGATGTTGTTCTGAACATCTCCTCAAAAGAGGAGAATCCCATTCTGATTATTTCCTCCTTGCATTCAGGGAGGATGTTTTCCAGAAACCAAGCATTAAGCGATGGTTCTGGGTAGGACTGTCTGGGTTCTTTTCCTGCATTGTACTTTACATTGCAGTATTTTTCCGTCACCTTCAATGTGGTGGGCTCCTTGATATATGTCCTCATTAGCGTATCAAGGACTTCAAGAAATTTCCCCCCTTTATCTCTAAGGAGGGCTTCTTCACGGAATTTTAGTCCGTGTGAGAGTGCAGGCTCTGCCAATCCACCAATGAGACAATCCAGATGGATTTCATCATAGTGTGCACCTCTATATCCTCGTGATGTGAGGAATCCTAGCAGTGTGGTGTACCACTGCCAGAAAATTTCTGTATCGTTTTCGCCTGACCACTTCATGTCAGGGAGTTGAGTAGGACCGTTATTTGACCAGTCCCACTTCACCCTGTCTATGTGTGGGGTGAAAGTTAGAAGTTCGGCCATCCGTGTGGCCTTGTGGTACCATCTTTCGAGGTGCCCGTTATCCTCCAGCAATGTTTTGCTGGAAGTTTTCCTTGTGAAGTTTTCACGAGGGTTTGTTTGGTTCTCTCCAGCATTACTGGAGGGGTTTTTCGGAAGGTTACTTGCCTGGGTGAAGTGACCGAGGAGGGCCATTTATCGCCTAAGATGGGGCCTGGTGTTGATGGTTGCCCGTTCATTTGTGGGTTCTCCTTACTAGGCTCCTTCTTCTGCCACATTGCACTCCTACAGACTTCGGTGACCTCATCTGAAGTTGGTGACTTCGCTTTTTTTGGCAAAAGTTTCGGGTTCGGCCTTGGCAGCAGTGGCTTCCCCTGAGCCTCTGTGCTCTCTGAGCATCTGCCCTTGACCTTTTCTCCTATTATTTCTCGGGCCTTTAGCCTGAGAAGGAGTTCTTCATCACTTCCTGTCCTCCATTCGGATGGGACCTGGAAAAAGTCCAGAAGTTTCTCAGACAATCGACTTCGGGGAGCTTCCCCATCCTCCTGCACCTGGTCCCTTTGCTGTGTCCACGCTGGGTCCGAGGCCATCTGAGGACAGTCCGGAAGTGAGCTCAACCTGTGAGTCTGTGTCAATCTGGATGACATGGCCTTTGTATCCATGTTGGAGTGTGTGCACTCGTTCTCAGACAGAGCGCTGAGTGTCTCACAGTGGTTGTGAGATGGTGTCGGTGGTGTGGAAGTTTTTTCCACATTTCCTCCACTCAGGACTGGCTCCCTGCACAAGCGGGGGTCGTCCCATGAGGGTTTTTGATGATTCCCAGTCTTATAGACTGGGGTTTGATCCGGCTCACGCCTAGGCGGCGAGCTGGATGTCTCACTATAGTTGCAAGACGGTAACGACGATGTGGAGGTTTTTTCCACATTTTTTGCAATCAAAGATGGCTCCCTGTGCAAGCAGGAGTTGTTGTTCGATTGTTTTGCACGATTCCCAGTCACATAGACTGGGGAGTGAACCAGCATGCTGCGATTTTGCGGGCTGGATGTCTCACAGTTAATGTGAGACGATGTAGACAATGTGGAAGTTTTTTTCACATTTTTTGCGATCACAAATGGCTCCCTGTGCTGGCAGGAGTTGTAGTTTGATCGATTTGCACAACTACCCATTGCATAGACTGGGGAGTGAACCGGCTTGCTGCTATATCGCAAGCTGGACGTCTCGTGGCTGACGCGAGACGATTCCGTAGATGTGGACGGTTTTTCCACATTTTTTGGAACTCCAAACGGCTCCCTGCGCCAGCAGGAGTGGTCATTTGGTTGTTTATGACAACTTCCAGTCGCATCGACTGGGGAGTGAACCAGATTGCTGCTATATTTCAATCTGGACGTCTCGCGTTTAATGCGAGACGATGCTGGACATGTGAAAGATTTTTCCACATTTTTTGCGATCAGAAACAGCTCCCTGTGCCAGTGGGAGTGATCGTTTGATGGTTTTGTGTAACTCCCAGTCAAATAGACTTGGGAGTGAACCGGCTTGCTGCAATGTTGCAAGCCGGATGTCATGCGGGTGACACGAGACGATGTGGACAATTTTTCCACATTGCTTGGGGCCACAAACGGCCCCCTGTGCCAGCAGGAGTTACTGCTGTTTTTGTCAGTGTCTTGCACCAAGTGAGAGGTTCCCTGAGGATAGTGGGGCTCAGGGACTTCTTTTGGCGTGTCTGACCCAGCCCTTAAGGCTGTTAGTGTGGCAGCTGCGTGCTTACGTGTGCACATGTTTGCCTCCTCACCCAGTGGTGAGAACTCTCTCTTTCTAGGAGAGATCATGTTGGCACATGGGGTTCTAAGGGTATTGTTCCCCGCATGTACCCCATGTAAGTTTTTGGGATCCTCAGGGTTTGTCCCTGAGGTCCTACCAATATGTGGCAGGTCTTCGTCATCATCCGATGACGCAGTGTTTAGGTTATCTCCCAAATTGGGAGATTGTGGCTTTTTAACAAAGCCACCCTTTGTTCTCGCTGCAGATGTGAGCTTCTGTTAGAACCGGCGGATTCGGACGACTCCGGAGTGGAATCGGAGACTTAGCGTGGAAGGACCTCAGCCTCAGCGACTCAGGCGGAGCGCTGTGCCATTGCTGGTTGTCCTAGGGGTCCCTAATTTCGGATCTAGCAGAGGGAAAGTCTCTTGGGGGGAATTCATGTCGATTTTGGACTGAGGTTACAAGTTACTATGTACATTGTATATAAGGAGGGGTCCGGAATCAAAAGGAGCGAGGGTAGGACGAAAGGAGACAAAGGGAGATGGAAAGGGGAACAACACTGAGGGTCAAGGGTTTGACTCAATGGTGTTTCTCAAAGGAGGAATGAAGGGCCATGGCCCAAGGAGGAAGGAAGGAGGTTGGGAGTGGGGAATGGCTAGCTGACTGAATAGAAAGGAAGCAGCAGCCCAAATAGGAATGAGGGAGAATGGCGGAACTGAATGGAGCAATGCAATAGTTGCAAGGTCCGATGTAAGTCCGGAAAGTCCGAACTCGGAAGTTAAACTCCGGAATATTGGCAAACATAATTAAATGGAATGAGCTAACCAATACAATGGGTATAAGCGGAGGTGGGGTCAAAGTCCGAGGTCGGGGCTAAGACCGGAGGTTCCGGAGACAGAGACGCGAACGGGATTCCGGAGTGGAGGTCCGGAGTCGGGAGCATAGGTTTTGCGTACTCATCTGGAAGGTGTTGAGGTTGGGGTCGGACCCGGAATGTTCCGGAGTCGGACTGAAGGTGGTGTCCGAGCCGGAGGTGGGATAACCTCTTGGGAGTCGGCAAGGAGAAGGTGACAGAAGGGAAGTAGGACTCCGGAAGTCGGAGTTCGGAGTTCTGGGAGCCCGGAGCGGAGGTCGGAATTGTATGGATATGACAGCTTCCCTGTTTGGGGGTATGACAGTGCCATGTCAGGTGCCGTCCCTGGAACAGATGTAAAAATAGATGTGTAGATTAGTTTTAATCACACCTCATGCACTTAAAAAAGTGTGAGGTCTGTGGGGCTCGCTCAGGTCACCAGGCTGTAAGTGTCACAAAGGTGTGGGTATTACGGGGTGATAAGCGATAGGTTTTAACCCGTCACCTGTCACATGACACTAATCTACAACGGGACTCCATGTAATGGGGGCCCAGGGCTTGTGCCCTGACATCATCCAAACCTCCCTTGAGCATTCCCAACTCTGTGGCCCCCTCTATTTCTCGTTAGGGTGGTAGATCCCTTGCCCCCTTACAGCGTCTGGCACAGGGCGCATGCAGGGGGTGCAATGGCTGGGTGTGCATGTGGATGTGGGTGCGAGTGCGGGTGTGGGCTAGGTGTGAGGTCTTTGGGTAGCTCAGCACACAAAGCCATAAGTGATACAAGAATGTGTATTTTACGGTGGTGTGTAAGCAGTTACTGTTAGAATGGGGCTGATACAGACGACTCCGGAGTGGAATCGGAGACTTAGCATGGAGGGACCTTGGCCTCAGCGACTCAAGCGGAGCGCTGTGCCATTGCTGTTTGTCCATTTGGTCCTTAATTTCACAGTAGGTGAGCAGGAAGTCTCTAGGGGGCATTTCAGGTCGATTTCAGACTGAACCAAAACGAGTATGTACAAGCGCCGATATATATAATGGAGGGGGCAAAAGCACAAGGAAACAAAGGGGAACCGAATCGGAACGAAGACGTCCAAATGGGAACAAAGGGTAGAGGAAGCGGAGCGGTACCGAAGGTCATAAGGTAGGACCTGTGATACGTCCGAAAGGAGGTAGGGAGGGCGAGGCCCAGAGGGGCAGGAGGATGAGGAGAAGTGGGGATGATGACTAACTGGCTAGAATGGGAAGAAGCAGTAGTCCAAATAGGGATGAGGGGTAAACGCGAGAGATACATTACAAGCAGTGAAAGTGCCGAAGGCAGTCCGCGAAGCTTGGGAGTTGCGGAGCTTACAGAGGTTACGGAGGCGGGGTTGAAAGTCTGAGGGATATTGGCAATGGTGTTTACGTAGTATGAGGTCACCAATGCAATGGACTAAGACCGAGGTGGAGTCAAAGTCCGAGGTCGGGACTATGATGGAGGCTCGGAGCGAAGGTACAAGCGGTGTCCGAGTAGGAAGTACAGGACAGCGGCGGAAGGTCGTAACTTGGCGGAAGGGTGGCAGAGGAGTACCAGAGGGAGGAGAGAGGGGAAAGGTAAGGGGGAAGGAGTGGCGGAGAGGTGTGTTGTCAGGTCCGAAGGTGAGTATCGGAGCGGACAGGGGAAGCGTAGGAGGATGACGGGAGGGTGGAGGTGTTGCGGAGGGGGAGCGGAGTAGGAGGAGGTGTGGGGGGGTAAGAAGGAGGTGTGTTGCCAGGACCGAAGGTGAGTATCGGAACGGCAGCGGTAGGTTATGACTCCGGAGGTGAAGAGGGTGGAGGTCCGGAAGTTGGGTCAGGGTCGGGTATGCACGGATATGACAGTTACCCGGAGGTTCCCGCTTACCCACGTGATTATATGTATCTAATTTACATATGACTCGGGGTTTGGGGCTATTGCCCTGACATTCTCCCCCCTTGCATTGCATTTGCGACGCATACAAGGTTGATAGTGAAATAAAACAAATTTTTAATAATTGATTTACATTGAGTTTGGAATTGTCAATGAGTGTTTTTGTTGTCGCCACTTTAAAGTGGGCGATTTTGTACATGTCGGTGAAGGAGAGAGGGAAAGGTTTGAGAAGTAAATGAGTGTGGGCCGTTACTTTGAAATGAACAGCAATACATGGGTATTGCAGGGAGAAAGATAGTGGAGTTTGTCGAAAATGAATTTCGACCCAAAGGTTGTATGTCTTTGGTGTTCCTCACTTGTTCCGTGAGGGTTCGTGTGTAAGTGGTGTTTACACACGAGCGGTGGTGGATGTGGGTCTTTTGGCAGAGTGGAGATTTCCGCAATTGTTACTTGCGGTTCCTCACATACAGTATTGTGTGTGGGGCCTCGAGTTGGGGGAAGGTGTTTTCACGGGCACCTCGATGGCGTATTACCGTGTCACTTTCCCCTTTTCTCAAGGGTGGAGTCATTGCCCCGGAGGAGGGTTTTCCTCCAGGTTGTTCATCTGGACATCCAATTGCTGCGTTGGATGCGATGATGTAGCCTGGGCTACATTGTCGGGCTGTGGGCTCAATGAAGTGGGTGCTCCCTGGGTGGGAGCGGGTTGTTGTCAGGGCACATACCCTGACTTAGCCCGGACCCGGACCCGTGTCCGGACCCGCTCCACTTCCTGCGCACTTCCTCTGCTGCATGCTCTGCGCACCGCATGATCCGACCCCGGATCTCACCTCATGTGACTTCCGGGTATCCCCGGAAGTTGTCGCCATATTGGGCCACTGTGGGAAAGTGAGAAGTTAACCTTCTTCTCACTTTCTTACCCACAGTAGCTATGCCCTGAGATGGGCTGTGTTTACAGGCCAGACTGTGGACTGTAGAGAGGGGTCATGGGGACCCGGGGTCCGTCCCCTGACAGTTGTTGTGTTCCTGAGCTACTTGGCTCAGGTGTGGAGTATGGTAGGTCTACCGTTCTTCCCATGGGGAAGGGTGGTCATTGGGCTGGTTGTCCAGTGCGGAGACTTGCATCCCTTTCCTGGTATTTGGAAGCTTTCGCTTCCCGTTCCGCAGTTCTTGTGGCACGTTCCTCAGGAGTCCTGAGTGGTTTGAACTGGGACTTTAGATAGGCAGCTTTGCCTAGGCTTTCCCAAGAGATTTTTCCCTTATTCTCCGGGGAATTATACTCCTCCATGAGTCTTGCAATACTCGGGAGTCCCAAGAAGTATTTCTCGGTTTCCTTCGCTTTATCACGAAGGGTTCTGTGTACCTTGCCGCTTTTGAAGGTGGCTTCAGCCTGTTCGTACCAGTGTACAAATTCTTTCCCACTCACGCTTGTCCACCAAGCGTATGCAGCGTCGTGCACCACTTCTGACCCTGCTATTCTCCTCATGGGGAAGTTGGGGTCAAATGTTACATCGACTGGGGCTTCGACTTTGCCGAACTCGTTGAGTTCAGCAGTCTCGTATAGCATGTGGACACTTCCCTGCAGGGTAGCTTGCCCATAGGGTGCTGAGGTACTCAGCAGCCCACCGCCTCTGGCAGTGGTCTGAGAGTTGTGCTGAATTCATCAAGAGAAACAGCCACACTTGTTGGTATAACCATCAGGGATGGAGTAACCTCCCTGGCATAATGGGCGAGTAGTGTATGGATGCATGCTAGAGGTCCTGGGTTCAATACCAGGCTTGTCCATTTTATGTCATTCATCCAGTCACCTGGTTTACATTAGTTGGATTCATGACATAAGTCTATAGTGCTAGCAACATGGATTTCTTCAGCACTAAGGGCAGCAATGTGAGCAGCATCTTTGCTGTGTGTGCATCGGTCCTGGTCAGTACTGGAACATGAGGTGCAGCAGCTCAGAACACCATTTTTGTTGGTGCCAAAAAACTCAAGAGGCTTAGAACGTTGACAGCAGGTGCACACTTTAGAGGCCATGGTAGTAGGGAATGGGTTCAAATCCATTTGTTTTTTAGATTATTTTTGAAGTGGGAAACGAAAATTGATGTCGGTGTTAGAACTGGGCGAGGGTGGACAATTCCGGAGGGGAACTGGAGACTTAGCAAGGAGGGACCTTGGCCTCAGCGACTCAAGTGGAGTGCTGTGCCATTGCTGCTTGTCCATTTGGTCCTTAATTCCAGAGGCAGCAAGCAGGAAGTCTCTAGGGGGCATTTCAGGTCAATTTTAGA